CATTTACATTGTTTAAATAAGCAAAGTGCAAAATATATTGAGTACAAAGCTAAACCAAAGCACCACATGAACAGACCTTGATTGGCCGGTGCATGTCGGGCTGTTTAATACGCAGTACAATCTGCCCGGCGACAGTAACTCCGTAGAAGAGGTAGTTGATGAAGCCCACGTAGTTGATGAGAGTGTACATGTCACTGGTGCACAGCATAAGGAGGGTGGACAGGCACTGAGGAATGAGAAAGGTTTGTTGTGTTTAACCGAGTGTGTTCAATGGAGACAGGAGAACTTGTGTATGTGGTAGAGGTAATATGGAGGAGTGTAACAGCGAGAGCAGTACTCACTGTGAAGAGCAGGGCAGGGATGGGAGTGCAGCGTGTCACATGAATCATGGCCAGCAGACTGGGGAGGTGGCCCTCTCTGGCTCCAGCGAAGAACAGTCTGCAAAGTGAGAAGGACAGAAACACAATGAACAATGTTAGCACGAGGGAGAAGCCAAACATTATGAAGAAAGCAAGAAAGACTGGAGGGAGTCTGGGTGCTCAGTATTACGACTGTGATGAATTTAGTGGACATAAAAGCAGGTTAAAGCTCATTTCGACCTCTCCAAAAACGCTGCCTGCTCCAAACCGAGTGCCCTAGTTGACTTCTCTATCTGCCACATTTTACATTTGCTTATGAAGAACAGACTTTAAATTTGAGGACTACTGAGACAATCCATGCAAAATGTGTCATGTTAGAGCATTTCATAGTAAAGCTTTGGCCTTGATGTCAAACACTGACTTCACATAGTGCATAGTCTGTTGATACAAGTCAGTCTAGTCCAACTAACCGTGAAGATGTGAAGAGGGAACCGTTGACTCCCCCGAAGGTGGAGAGAGCCACAGAGATGGGCATGATCCACGCCATGACTCCGAGCAGCTTCTCACCAAAAGTCTGGGATGGAGAGATGGTTGGATGATAAACAGACATAAAGGCACATAAGTATGTGTTTTAATTGGAGATAGAAATAGCTGATGTACACACAGAAGACCTATATAGACGCAAAACCCACTTCAACACCACCTCTCATGTTCATTTACTTTAAGCTGGAGCTGGACTGCTTAACATGTACTCATAGATTACATTCAAGTTTTGTCACATGCCAATTAACCCTACAACCGAATCATACACTACTTTTTATATCTTATAGCTTGCTGATGTCAAACATAAGGCCCATGGGCCTGAAACGACCAATCAAAGATTCCAATCTGGCCCACTGGGTAGCTTGAAAAATGTGAACGAGGGCACTGATAAAGACCTCCCTCATGGACATCCATACTATGCCAAAGTAATAAAGTAATAAACAAACAAACAAATCACAGAAAAGTTCCTGTTTTTTTTTTATCTAACACACTATTACTGACTTGACAGCTTTAAAAGAAAGCAACAGGACTTCTCTGACTTTGTGAAGATGTTTCTCCTCTCATACAAGAGGTCTTCATTTCTAAAACAACTAGCAGAGAGTCCCAGATAATAAACTCACCCACCATAATGTCTCCAACAGCCCTGGTGACGACTCAGGACCACCTCTAAAGGGGATTGTTACCCTACTAGGTGTATATTATCTTGGACCTTGGACCAGTTGTTTTAGAACTGAAGCCTCTTGGATGAGAGGCAAAACATCTTCAAAAAACCACATCCAGCTCCCTTCTTTTCAAGCTCTTAAGGCTACCATGACCTAGATGCCTGAGATCCTACACCAGGGGTAGGAACTCCAGGCCTCAAGGGCCGGTGTCCTGCAGGTTTTCCATTTCACCCTGGGTCAACACACCCGAATCAAATGATTAGTTAATCACCAGGCCTCTGGAGAACTTCAAGACATGTTGAGGAGGTCATTTAGCCATTTACATCAGCTGTGTTGGATCAAGGACACATCTAAAGTTCCCCACCCCTGTCCTACACAGTCATAGTATTATTGCCCATGCATTTACCAACAACGACCATTAGAGGGTGTCATTCATTTGAAATAACAAGGTGTGTCTGAATGAAGTGACAGGACCACCACAGCTACTCACCACAGCAACAGCATTTGAGGCAAGCAGCTCCTGAGGACTCATGGCTGTGACATAGGCGATGTTGGCGAAGACGTAAACGAAGGTCACGACAGGGATGGAGATGAAGATGGCGCGAGGAAGGTTCCTGAAGACAATACAGCACAATATTTCACTTAAGAACTGAGAGAAAAGCAAAAGATTTAAGGAAGGAAATTAAAAAGGATGTTTTACAGGTGGGGTGTTAATGGATAAGAAAGGTTACCAAAGAATAGGAAATGAGGAAATAAGTCGCTACTTTTTTATTTCTACATCTGTGTCCATACACTGGGAATGTCAGGGGGAATTTTTCCATTGTTAAGTTACATAAATTTCAGAGAGCTTTAGCAAAAAGGATCAGGGATTAAACATAAGCTTTGTTGGTATGTGACTGCTAATTACTCAAACAGTCACAAGCAGCTTGTAAATCAGATATATTCCTGTGGCAGTGAGGCATTTAATCTTGTGGGAATGTGGTTTTTGACACACAGCAGCTTCATATTTATATATGTATATGAGAGGCAGCGTAAAGTATCTTACACATAAGGATCCACCAGCTCCTCTGTGACATAGTTGAGGAAGTTCCACCCGCCATAGGCGAAGGAGCCTTGTAGGAAAGCTAAGGCTATTAAACCTACATCGTAGTCCTGGAAGGGCTCAAAGGCGTTGGCAGGCTCCAGCCAGTAGTACTCTCCTACAGGTAGAGGAGAAAATCTTCAGCTTGGCACAAACACAATGGAACATTTACAACGATAGCACAAACCTTTCCAATTTTCTAGTCATAGTAAATAACAAAAAACAAAAAGCAGTTTCTTTTATGGTTCTCTGTGTTCATTTCTTAAATCTGCATGACCTTCCCAAATTAAGCGGGCCTGTTCCCAATCATTTATCTCTGGTTTGATAACTTGTTTTGCTGTCGGGGTAAACAGCCTGGTTTCCTCTGAGGTCTGGCCATGCTGTAGCAAGCCCAGCTGAAAACTATCAGCTAATGAAATCAGCGTGTATAAAACAAGTTGTAAAAGGTATTTTGTTAAATCCTTGTAAAGTGACTTTGCAGAATGTGTACTTCTTTTCCTCATTCCTTCTTTTTTATTCTTTTAAATCCCCTATTGAGGCTTGTTTTTAAAGATATGTCTACTACTCTCTCTATTGCATACAGTTCCTCAGATATGAGCTAAATTCCTCCCATCAAATCAGCCTTTGAACTCTTCATTATCTTCAGACAATTGTGCAGAAATCCCAGTTTTGCCCTTACAATAACTCTTCCTCAGCCATGTTTGTGCTGTAAACCCTCAAAAGCCTGCTGATATTAGCAAAAGGGCCCCAGCAACTCGCTGACCCCTGATGTGAAGCCTTTACTGTCCCGACACACTGAGCGTGTCCCCACTGACCCTAAGTCTGTGTCTGTGTGTAAGACATGGCGAAACCATTGTGAGCGATGCATATATGAATGCACATATGGCAGCGGTGAGCTTACCCTTGCAGACCTGCACGACTCCCATGATGATGATGAGTCCCAGCGCCAGCAGCTTGCCGGCAGTGAACATGTCCTGCACTCTGGTGGCCCACCTCACGCTGGAGCAATTCACCCATGTCAGCAGCACTAATAAGAGAGAAGCACACAGTTATAAATCAAGGACGGCATTAATTCAGCCAATACTGCAAGCTCAGTTGCAAGCTGTCGCTGATCTCAGTGCCAACTCGCAGCAGCTGACGGCTCATTAGATATCATTCTCTGTGACCAACTCATAAAAACTGTGCTATTTAGGCTGCTTCTGCCTTCTTTTATTTAATATGAATATGCAAGCCACTTTGCAACCCGACTCCACCCCAGCTCTGTCTTATCAAGACGTTTCAGAGAATTTAGCCTTTAGTGGCTACGTTTTAACTGTGAAACCCACAAAAACCAACCCTGTTACCTACAATGTAACCTGACCTGCACCTACCTGAAAATGTAACTACACGTCCAGTCGGTGCAGTCAGCAACTACTGCGATTGGCCAATTACACCTGTGCCATGTTTCTGGCTAATTTTTCGCTGCAGTGTTTGAATGAGAATAACTATCATCGCCAAAAAATCGTATCATAGTTAGGAGCAATAATCATAGCACAAATGTAAGGACTCACAAATGTCAGTGAAGTCCTGGAGGGCAATTGCTGACACTAAACTTGGCACTGATGTAAGGGAAAGAACTAGAGGGACAAAAATGTTTTGTACCCGGAAAAAACAACTGACCACAACAAAGAGCAAAGACCCAGGAGGGAAAAAGTCCCAGCATTTTGTTTGTTTCTATCAGCTGGCACCACATGAAACACACTGGGACAAGGACCACAAGGTATTTAACATAATTCACCACATACCAGCGTAAATATCGGCAATGACGTTGACAGCTTACGTAGGTTATGTGGTAGCCTCAACAGAGATTCCTAAATCAGGCGTTAGCCGAGAGCATATCTACCATCATTAATGGATGCTCTGGTCTGAGGTCTTGCTGCTGCCCTCTCTGCTTTCAGCTTTGCAAGCATAAAACAACAGAACCACACCACCAACAAAAACTACAACAGATGGACATAATGACTTTCTTGTGGTCCTTACTGGATTTGTTTTACTTCACTTCTATCCTATAGAATCCTTCTATATCATTGACTTCAGATTGTCACGTATGATCGGACACTCCTACTGTTATTACCGGACATATACGAAATTTGCACTGTGAAACAGTCAGACCATGTATAGATTGTGTAAAAGTATTCTGCTGAGCATGCTTGTGTCGACTTATCTGGGGGGTCGGGTGTTTATGAGCTGAAGTAATAGTAACCGAATAAAATTTGTTGATCAGTAACACTGAAGGCTGCGCTGGTTTATGCATTAATTGCTTTATCACTTCATTCACTCAAAGGCACTGTCACTGCATTGTTTGCAGCCCTCATAATTTTGCCCAACAGGCAAAGGAGATATGAGATATATCACTGATGACCCCGATAGATTTAAAGTTTCTCTCATATCAGGTCAGTGAATTAGATTAAAGCCGCACGTGTAAACGTGTGCGATGTTTCTCAACATGTAGGACAGCAGCGACCTTTGACTCCCTTGCTGCATCATCACATTCACCCATTATCATCGTGTGCCTCACCTGCAGTTTCCCTTTAAAGGGAAGCAATTAGTTGCTACAACACGAGTGGCGATTTATGAATAATGCAATGTGTGAATGCACTTTGGAGCGCTTCTATGCTTGCATGCTTATATAGTGCAACATTACATGTGTTTGCTACTTTTTGAAACTTTGTGGACTTGCTCCTGTCGATGTATTTACTAGACAGCTTCATATCAGGGTTGATGTGATGACGCCAGATAAGCGCGGCCTCGAGAAATTACTCGACATGTTAAAGTTTGGTAGGGATGACCGATGTTTTTCTGTCTGGTCCTTTCAGAGCTCTCTAATCCTGCTCATCTAGCATTTAGCAGAATTTTTTCTTTTTTTTAGAAAGCCCTAAAATGTATTTAGAAAAGCTTTTGACCTCATGGGAAAGCTAACACATACAAGAGATAATGGATTTGATCTGTACCGCTGAGCGCAATAAGCCAGTGGGTTCAGGCCAATAGGGTGCCATCAAAGAATAAGCTTGTTTGACTTTGTGGGATTAAGTTCATCACATTAAATAACTCTGAGCGGAGCTGCCACTGCGGGGAACAAAGCCAGATGCACGTGAACAGACATGCCTGATATTAACATACTGCAGGTGTGTGCTCAATGCAGACAGAGAGGGGCACATGATGGGGTTTGCAGATCAGACATAGTTGTGGTGGAGCTACGCAAAAATTTGTGCATCTCCTGCTGCTACTTCCTCCACACAAAAGCAGGAAACAAAAGGCATGCAGATTAGTTCAAGACTCATTCTTATGTAACTCTCATTAACTACATATTAAATCCCAAAACTGATCTGGTGGTAAACAACAGTTTTAAGAGCCAGATGATGTTTCCCACTGCTCTGCATTTCAGTTACAGCATAAACATTCCCTCCTGCTCTGCTGCTGACAGGCAGATTGTGGACAAACACCTGAAGGCATCATTGGAACTTGGAGCTGCTGAGCTTTTTATAAGCACAGCATACAAAATGAAGACATTATTTGCTCCGTGCGCATGTGTGTGTGTATAGGAAAATGTCCTGAATTAACCATGAGCCTGTAGGAAAATATTGGAGAATTATGACCTTGCACGGAGCATGTCTTTGAAATGGTACACCACTTAAAAAAATAAAAGCCTGTCATGCAGCATGACACTGTCAAACTGCCCAGTGACTGGTACTGTCTGGTTTGCCTGTCACCGGAAATAAATAAGTAAGGCAATATCCTGCAAACTATTACATAATATTCTGCAAAGGCCATGTTTAGGAAATCACAGGTACGTCTAAACACAGACCCAAATAAACAAGTGCTGAGATCCACAAATTAGGAAACGAGCTGGTGACCTTTAACCAACTTTTCTCTGAACAACAAGAAAATAGCAACAAATCATCAGCAAGCTTTTTTCCACCTTAAAAGCTGCCTGACAACATCTGTCTAATCGACTCAAGAAAGAAGAAAAACTTGAATTACGCAATAAAGCATGTGTTAGCAGTTCTTGGTAGAGCTAAGCACATTTGGCTTCAAGGCATTCGTGTAAGTGGATTAAAAAAAAGGCAGGTCAATGTGTCAGAAACATAAAAAGCAAAGTATTCAGACAGAAACAGAAAAACTAAACAATATCAAAGAAGCTGTTTCCTGCCTGCTTCGTCAGCACCAAGATGCTTGTTGTATATCTTGTCAAGGACCATGACGGTTATCAAGTTTGATCCCTTTCAGCCCTTTCAGAGGCGTATTTACATGCTTTCCCGCATTAAGCTTAAGTGTTTCCTACCAAAAGTGTGCCATGTAGCTATTTTGTTGTTGTAACAGGGCTTCTTCTGCCAATTTCAAATGACATTTCTTCAAATGTAAGCAAGCAATTATTGCTTTCCACCCATTTGGTGCCAAATAACTCAGAGCATAAGACTGCTTATTCTGCCAGCTTAGTAAAGTAGCAGTAGTGTTTTTGGCTATGGTCATTAGCGGTAATCAATTGGTCAACTACATTTAAATGTCTTTTCATGCATTCTCATGCAAGTCTTTGGAAAGTGAGCTTTCAGCATCATTAAGCCAAACAGGACAGCGAGCTGAGCTCATCATGGGAAGCAAATCAAAATATACAATACTCCACAAAAAGTTTCACTCTTCCTTGAAAAACTTACAAAGTGAAACTTCGTATTTGCCATTTTTAATTATGCATGTTTTATACGCTTTAGCATGCAGACTGAAGCAGGGATCAAACCACCAGCCTTTTGATTAGAAATGCTGCAGTCATCCAGTCACTTTCAGGATCTAAATCCAACCATTTTTTGAGTGTAAAGGTAAAAAGTGATGGAGGGTGAAAAAGAAAGAAAGTTTAAAAACAATAAGAGGTGGATTTAGTAGGGAGATGCAGGAAACATCTGAGAGAGCTGCAGTATATAAGATGAGTGAGTGAGAATGCCTTGAGGAAGGAACTAGTGTGCAGTTTAACTCAGAGAGAGTTATTTTAAATCAATCTGCATCCAGAAAACACCACACTGAACACAACTGTTGTCCTCCTGAGAGCTGAAAGCACTTTGCAGTACCTTAGAAGAGATGATCTAAAATCGATGTTGCTCTCCTTATTCCCCAGTAAATTTCATTAGAGTTGCAGGGGTTAGACCACAGCTCCCAATAAAAACAATGTATACATGAAACGCACGAATCGCCGCCAGGTAACACAAACAGTGCACGTATTCTTCTCCAGGCTTCACGACCGTCTCTTTTTGTGTCTCAAGGCTCCCTGCAGTATTTGTCTAGTGTGTGTGAACTTTGTCAAAGTAATCAAATCTACCACAGTCATGTTGGCACCAACACATTTCTCCATTTGTCTCCACACATTTACTCCTCACGGCTAAACTCTGCCAGCTCCCTGTGCACTTCCTCTCTCACATGACCTCTAACTGAGGGTTAAAAAACACAAGTGCTTCATAAAACAGGGGAAAACTGGGATAGAAGGCATAAACTGGATAAACAAAGTCATAACTCAACCAGTCGGTGAATTATAAATAGGTTGGATGTGATGACGTCAACAAAGCAACAGTTGCTGCATTGGAAAATGTGCTTGAAAGGACTTTCAAATGTTGAACTCCACAACATCTAAATGTTATCAGACTTGTTTGTTAAAGCTGCATGAAGCAGATATTTGCTCTAAGCCCCTCCCACAAGAGAAGTGCTTGCTTAACTAGGCCTTAAAATAGGTGAAACGTGTCTCCCAAACCCTCGATTGTACTCGATTGTTGCAGACACAGAGCGCCGGAGACAAGACGATCAAGTCATCGTTCCAAGTCCGCTGTAAGGTCAAGTCTCCACGTAAGAGTCTGAGCAATCACACAACCACGGGGTCTCCATAGAGCCTTCTGCTCATTATCTGATGATGAAATTTACACCACTCGGACCCAAACTGACCCCGAGCCAAAATATGATGGCAATGCGTCAAGGAAACTATAACCACTACTTAAAGCAGAATTTAAACCCCCACTCTAAGCAGCTCAGAAAGACTTCTTTACATTTCTTGAAGAACTCCAGACAGTTGGTGTCGACACCAATGGGCTGACGACACCAACTGTCTGCCATCTATAATCCAGTTATGAGATCCAACACCCGTTTTCACACCGTGTGATTAGGCAGAGGATCAATAGGGGGTTCATGACCCTCTTATGGACACAGCCAATAGGTCTTAAAAAATCTGGGACTCTCCACCAATTGTTCTTAAAACTGAAGAAGCTTCTCGGATGAGAGCTGAAATGTCTTCAAGAAAATTAAAGAAGTCCAGACACTTTTCTTTTCAAGCTCCTTAGACTACGATGACCTGGATGACTGAGAACCTTCACAGACATCACTGATTAAACGTTTTTGTGTTTCACAAATTATTATGTAACCTTTAGAAGTCAATGCCTTCACCAGTTTAGCATTAACGCCATTAAATTCAGTCAGAGTTTGTAGTTCAGTTTATTTTAGTTGTTGGAAGTCTGTCCTCCATGACGTGGAAAACACACCTCTGGGTTGTGGTTCATTTGTGTCTGGGCATGTGCACACGAGTTAGATGTGATGTGCTACTCACAAAGACAAACGGCAGCCAGCACACGCAAGCCATTTTCTGGTGGAAAGCAGGTGGGGAACAGAGGCTGCAGGACATAGTTGGAGAACGTCAGCGCGATCACAGCCTGGTTGGTCGGGTAGATGACAAGCACAGCGATCCACAACCGCAGGAACCTGCGCAAAAAGAAGGGATAGTTATGAAAGAACTTTAACTGAGTATTAATGGACTACGCGGACAAAAATAACAAGTCAATAAAACAGTTCATATGTTCATGGTTTATTAAGCTTGTAGCAGTCAATGATTAGTGAATCATTTATGAAAGTACCAATGCCTATTTCACTTTCTCCACATTGCATTAATTTAATAGTTTGTACTAGGAAAAGAAGCTACACAACAGTGTCACCTTTGGGTTCTGAGGAGCCATGAATGGCTTCAGCTGCTATACTCAGCTAACACTAAAAAAACAAATGACCCAGTTACTGAATAGAGCCACTTCCTTGCATCACTCAGAACAAAGCAAAGAGAGGAAATCTCATGCTGCTTGTGACTAAAATAGTAACATTTTTTTGCAGCTACTTCGATGTTAGGTTACCGGCACATTGCCCCGTTATTTTCCTGTGTTTGTGCAGGGAAACGACATTTAGTTTAACCCAGACCACTAACATTTCTGCCTGGCAACAGTTTAAAATGGGGTGACTCATCCAGTCTTTTAACCTGTCAAAGTAGCAGTAGTCATGGAGAAACGCAACAGTGAAACAATACACCAACACGCCGCATGTTACTCATTGTCTGCTTTAATATCACCTCAGCCCATTGTTTTTTGTTACATTTTTTATTACCAGTGTTTACTCACATTGATGTATTTTGTAATTTTCACCTCGTTTTCGTCTTACACGATTTGTTTCCTCTGCATTTATCACTAAAATGTTTACATCAGCGCCTGCACTAATCAAATCTGGGCAGAAATAAACAAGTTTAGATAGACATGCCTGACAATACTTATCTCACTCGCCTCAGCATGATAACAAAAACATGCAAACAGGCAGATATCAGCAATTGTGGAATAAAATGAATATCGGGCTGATGACACGAGATTTAGCAGAGCTCAGGGGCTTAACGGAGTGACAGGTACAACCGTACACGTGATATCTCCATTAAATTCTCTGGAAGCTTAAAAAGGGATCATTACACTCGAGTGCATTAATGGGATGGCGACTCGCTGGAATTTGCGAGTGTTTGTTAAAAAACGTCCACACCAGTGTTTGAAAGTCACTCTCGAATAACTCCCCTTTCACACTGCTCGCTTCACTTTTAGCATTTTTAAAACTCAAATTCAGTACATTTCAGGTAAATGTTGTATTTTTTTTTACTTTACTAAAAGGATATAAAACCTACATTTATTACAGTTAAATACAGTTTAAAAAAATTAATGTGTTGGGTTTAATGTGTAAAATATATGATAAACTAAGCTGACAACGATGAAACAAGCTAATCTACCATTACACTTTGAAGCACACCAAACTAGCTGCAATATTTTAATGTTAATTAATGTATATATTATCTATAATATTATAAAATGGACTTGTTGAATATTAGGTTGTTAATAAATTATGAAAAGAACAATCTGTAAGTTATTTAGCACTAAGTAGTATTTAAATATATCAGTGTATAAAGTTTGTGGATGCAGCTTGAAAACAATGTCAGATTCTGTTAGCTCATAAGTTAGCATTCCACCTAAAAACTAAAATGCTAACATTAATGCCTTTCTATGTAGAGTCTTTGACCTAGACTACACAAGTGGCTGACACTGTTGCTAGTGTTTTCAGTCGACTTTGTTTTAAACCTACACATTAGGTACGTCATAACCGCAAGCCCTTTGGAAACCCTACACCGTAATCTGACGTGCACCTTCCTAGAAATGTAACCATACATCGCCCTCGACAGCTACAGATGTAGCTGTTGGCGTCGCCCACTTGTTGAGGCTACAACATGTCCTGCAGTTACATTTTTAAGTAAATGCACGTCAGTTTACGGTGTGGGGCACAGCAAAGTAACAGTGTAGAGTTTCAGAAGGGTTTACGGTTAGGATGATGGAATGTAATGAGAAATTTGTGAATCATTTGTTTCCATTTAACTTCCACTTAAACCACTGAAACCAGCTACACCTACAGTATTCCGTGTAGGGGACATTACAGGTGTTACGTAACCCTCGTCAGTTTGATACAACAAAGGCCCTTTGTGCATGAAGCGCTGTCCATTCAAGTGTTTGACGATACAATTTTCAAATTCTTTCTTTTTTCTGCGAGCTCGCCTTCGCACAGCTGCGAAGGTTATGTAAGTACACCCACCATTCCAGTTAGTGACTTATAGGCACGCCCCCATATACACAGATGGGGACAAAGGGAGCAGCAAAACAAAAACAAACATCCCTTGAACATGGATTTATTTATGCTATACCGAGGGCACATGGAAACGGTGCGGCCCCAACACTTCAAACTGAGCATGTGAAGCCACAGAGTACAAAGCCTCTGGAGTTAGATGTTCATTGATGTGTATTGATAGTTTGCACACAAAGAGACACAAACAATCATTGTCTGTTTGGTCTGCTTGAATTCCTCTCCCAGAATATCTTGATAATATGCATCCTTGTGATAGTTGGAAAAAAAAACAACAATGGTCTGATGTGTGTTTACTTTCTGAGAAAAGGGCTAGTGTGTGAAATCTTCGCTAACAAACGATGTTGTTTTTGCTAGGAAACTAACTTAGCGTGATTCCCAAGCTCTTGCTGTAAGAAGCCATTTATGGATGAATGGGAGGAGGCCGTGAGCGGAAAGTCAATTCAAAACTTTCCATTAAAGATGGAAAACCCCACAGCGGCGTGCCATTTGAGCTTCTCTGAGTCACCTAGAAGCTCATTTGCTGGCAACTAATTTGAGTCACTTGGGTGAATGTCTGTTTCTAAGATCTGGAGCTGGCTACAAGCTAAAGTCCACCTTTCTACGGTGGACTTTAGATGCAAAAATTTCACAAAATTAACGTCATTGTGGGATTTTGTGTTTTTAATATGTTATATCTGGTTGCTGTGCTTGTACCTCTGGACCTGCTTTGGATCCATACATCTGAGCTCCATCAGCTGGATAATCCACCAGGACTCGTCAAATCCATGTCAAATTAACTTTAGTTGTTTCTGGCCCATTTCAGGCCCTTCTTCTCTTCTCTTTGTTATGCAGTTAATAACCAAACATTTTGTGGAATGACTGGGGGCTTCTTAGCCCTCACTGATGTGAGAGTGAATAAAAAAGTCCAAAGAGAGAAGCTGAACTATAAATCATTCCAATTACAAAGATGTAATCCTTTGAAAACACATTTGTTATGGAGAAAATCAGCTTTCAATTAGTAACAAATGGTGTCCTATTTTTTGTACGTCATGGTCTTGACTTTTTCCACCATAAAGAAGACAGCTGGCGACCCCCCCTGTATCCTTAATGTTGAGTTTTGACACCTCAGTATATAATCAATAAAAACATGGTTTCGGGGCCATTGGGATAAGTTTCTGTTTTTTCGAAGGGCGGCCCCAGTAAGCTACTCTGAGGCCTTTTGTTCAATGACCAGGCCTGAAATATGATAGAAACTCCTCAGTTAAAATAAACAAAACAGAGTTACCCCTAGTAGACCTCCAATGGGGGAAGAGTTAAAACACAGGTGCTGATTTATCCCTGAAGATGTGTGACATCTATAAAAGAACAAACGACTCACCCTGCCAGCCCGCCGAAGATGTCCTTGACGTAGGAGTAGTCTCCTCCAGACTTGGGGATGGTGACACCTAGCTCGGCGTAGCACAACGCCCCGATGGCGGTGATGATGCCGGTGATGATCCAGACGATCAAAGCCACGCCCACTGAGCTGGCATTCTCCATCACACCCTTTGGGCTGACGAAGATACCTGAGCCAATAATGTTACCTGGTGGAGGGCGGAGGGAGAGAGAGAGAAAGGTTTCACGTTTCAGAAGTGCTGTCCAAAAGCATTATGGGAAGTAGTTGTTTAGCTTTAGGGCTTGACCCATGTTATTAGAAAACAAAGTGTGGCTATAAGGGCAACTGCTGTACCAATTTATTACTATCTTGTGATTATTATACAAGTGGATGGCTGATCACTGGTGTATGTATTCACCCAGAAGCACCACGGGAAAGACTGAGGAAACAGACATATGACAAACTAGACAGGAAATAAATAGTTAGGTCATGAGTAAAATGGAAAAGATGCTTTAAAAAATAAGAGAGAGAACGAGCAGAGTTTCAACAGCAATGAATCAGTCGAGCTGCCTGGCAAAGTGGGAACCTGCGATATGCTGACTTGGCATAGCTATGAGGAGATGGAAGAGGGCTGAGAGCAGGGTTAACGAGTGCAAAGAGGGAGAAGGACTGAAACGTGGACGCAGAGGGGGGAGAATAATGCCCTGACATATTCAATGAGCGTCAGAGAGCAGTTTGCACAGCAGATGAAAGAGACGGATGGTTGGGTTCAGGTCTAACACGAAAGCGTTCACTCCTCTGATAAGGCTGACGTTGGCGGTCACGAGAACTGATCAAGTTCAGCTCACCGTGGTTTGAAGGCTTGATGCCATCAGCCAC